GGCTTGGACCAATCCGATCAGCTCCCGCTCGTAGGCTGCCAAGGTGTGGTGGCGTGGAGCGAATGCGCGGCTGAAGTAGGCGATGGGTCCCCCATGTTGATGCAGTACCGCGCCGAAGCCGGTGCTGGAAGCGTCGCACTCCACGACGAAGGGCTGCTCGAAGTCAGGCAGGGCGAGGACGGGCGCCGTGGTGAGCGCCTGCTTGAGGCGGCCGAAGGCATCCTCGGCGTCGAACGACCACAGGAAGCCGTCCTTCTTGAGTAGATGCGTCAGGGGAGCCGCCATCGCACCAAACTCGTTGATGAACTTGCGGTAGTACCTCGCAAGGCCTAAGAAGCTGAGTGGTTCCTGGAGTCCGGTGGTGAAGAGGTCCACCTGTTGCTCCTCCGTGAGGGGACTGGTGCGGGCGAGCAAGTCGAGGAAGCGATCGATGTAGGCGGCCACAGTCATCATGTGTCGGCAGGCGGCGAGTTCGCCCAAAGGTGCCTGGTGATGGAATAAGTCTTGTGGCTGATTAGTCTTTGCATCTTTTGCTTTTTCAGCTTTTAGGATGCTCTAGGATAAGCATCTTTTTTCCACTTTCTGTTTTAGATGCTCTAGGACAACATCTCTCTTTTCCACTTTCTAGGATAGCATCTTGACTACTAATGATGCGACTAGCTGCAGCTAGCTAATAGCTATAAATATGTATCCCACCCTCCCCTGGGATGGTATGGCTTTCATGAGAAAATAGACAGAAAATTGCCCCAACTCTCCTAGTGCCAAGATTTTGCTACTAACAAGTAGTATTAGAGCCATTCTATTCTGTAGCCTAGACATCTCTTGCTCATCCCCTTCCTGAGCTCCCCTTTGTCCTCAGCCGGCTGTTCCTGCTCATCCCCGTCCCCTGCGCTGACGAGCAGCAGCTTGTCAGAGGCAGCCTCTTCCCCACACTGCACCCCCCCAGTAGCGTGCCATGTCCGTAGGACAGTCTCAGCGCTCGGTCGCCTCGAGCGCACGGCTCCGGCAGGAGGCCAAGCTCGCCGCGGCAGAGGAACGCGAGCGAGCGGCAGCAGAGACTGCTGCGATGGTAGCGAGGGTGTCAAGGCTGGCAGCGGCGGAATTGGCGGCAGCAAGGGCGGAAGTGGAAGCAGCGGCAGCGGCGGTGGCAGAGCTCAAGGCTCTACACGACAGTAGCTCCAGCAGCTCTGTCTCCGCCTACGACATCCCCGCTGATGAGCTGATGAGGGAGATAGCTCGTGAGCGGGCGGAGCAGTGGGCAGCCGCGCAACCCCACGCGTGTGGTGGCGGTAGCCAAGACGGGCGTGGACGCGCCGGCGGCGTTCCTGGTGGGAGCGCGCGCGGCGTTGGCAGCCCAGACGGGCTTGGACACGTCAGTGCACCCCCTGGCAAGGGTGCGCATGACGGCGATGCTCTCGGCGGCAACGGCTGGGTCGACGGAGATCGTGGCCATTGCAGGCGGCGTGTGTCTCTCCCTCCCCGGACCGGTACCATGAACACCACGGGATTCAGGCCGTCATTAGGGAAGTCGGCCCCGGCGGTGGGTGGCCTACCCTCACCAAGACCAACTACGTCGAGTGGGCTGTTGTCATGAGGGTGAGGCTCCAGGTGCAGCACATGTGGGAGGCAGTTCGGTACGGCAACGTCGACTACGACGAGGATCGATGGGCGCTGGATGCCCTGATCGTTGCAGTCCCGCCCGTGATGCAGTTCTCGCTTTCCCAGAAGCGGACTGCCAAGGAGGCCTGGGACGCCATCGTTGCGGCACGCATCGGTAGCGACCGCGCCCGCAAGTCCACACTGCAGGCACTTCGCAAGGAGTGGGAGAACTTGGCCTTCAAGCCAGGTGAGGATGTTGATGACTTTGCCCTCCGTCTCAACACTTTGTTGTAGAAGATGGTGCAGTACGATGACGACACCTACGACGAGGAGAGAGCCGTCGAGAAGCTCTTCTGCTGCATCCCAGAGAAGTACAGGCAGATCGCTCGCTCGATCGAGTCTCTGCTGGACCTCTCCACGATGTCAATCGAGGAGGCGAAAGGTCGCATCAAGGTCGTCGACGGCGATGAGCCACAACTTCTCTCGGGGTCTATCACCATTGGTGGGAAGCTCCATCTCACTCGGGAGCAGTGGGAGGCTTGTCAGGATGACGGGAGGAAGAGGGAGTCCTCTTCCTCGACAGGCGGCCGCAAGTAGCGCAAGGCGCGCGGAGGCGTCTAGCTGCGGTGGGCGCGTGCGAAGACGCGCCGAGGGTGGCGCTCGCAGAGGCACCCAGGGCGACGCCGCCAGCAACCACAAGCCGGCACGAGATGACGCCTGCCACAACTGTGGCAAGCTTGGCCATTGGGCCAAAGACTGTCGACAGTCACGACGTGGCCAGGCCCACATCGCATAGGTGGAGGAGGAAGAGTCGGCTCTGCTCCTAGCACACGCAAGCATCGAGCTATCTTTAGCGGCACCGGCCGCAGCGGCTTTCCTCCACCTCGACGAGCCAAAGGTACACGTCTTCCTCGGCAACAGCTCTAGCAACGACAAGGCTGATTGGTGGTACCTCGACACCGGCGCCACCCATCACATGACTGGCTGACGGGAGTTCTTCACCGAGCTTGACTCCAGCGTCCGAGGCTCTGTCAAGTTTGGGGACGCCTCCGGCGTGGAGATCAAGGGCGTCGGCTCCGTCACCTTCACCGCCAAGTCCGGTGAGCACATGATGCTCACCGGAGTCTACTACATCCCCGCGTTGAGGAACTCTATCATCAGCGTGGGGCAGCTGGATGAAAACGGTTCACGCGTGTTGGTCGAGCATGAAGTCATGAGAATTTGGGATCGCCGTCGTCGCCTTCTTGCCAAGGTAACCAGAGGCACTAATCGACTCTACATCCTCAGCGTGCTGGTGGCACAACCGGTTTGCCTCGCCGCTCGTCGGGATGACGAGGCGTGGTAGTGGCACGAGCGCTTCGGGCACCTCCACTTCGAGGCCCTGAAGCGGCTCGGTGCCAAGGAGATGGTGCGAGGCCGGCCGTGCCTTGACCACGTGGAGCAGCTCTGCGACGTCAGCGTGTTAACGAAGCAGAGGCGGCTCCCCTTTCCCCAGCAGACGATCTTCCGAGCTAAGGAGCGGCTCGAGCTCGTGCACGGGGACTTGTGTGGCCTAGTGACACCGGCCACACCAGGAGGACGGCGTTACTTCCCGCTGCTCGTCGACGACCTCTCTCGCTACATGTGGGTGATGGTTCTCGGCAGCAAGGGAGAGGCTGCAGACGCCATCAGGCGTGGGCAGGCTGCTGCGGCCGCAAGTTGCGCATGTTGCGCACCGACAACGGCGGCGAATTCGCGTCGTACTGCGTTGATGAGGGCATTCAGCACCACTACTCCGCGCCGTACAGCCCGCAACAGAACGGCGTCGTCGAGCAGCGCAACCAGACGGTTCTGGTGATGGCTCGGGCTCTCCTCAAGCAGAGGGGGATGCCGGCCATCTTCTGGGGGGAGCCGGTGGTGACGGCTGTCTACATCCTCAACCGCTCGCCTACCAAGGCCCTCGACGGTAGGACACCGTACGAGGCTTGGCATGGGCGCAAGCCGGCAGTCTCCCACCTGCGGGTCTTCAGCTACCTCGCGTTCGCCAAGGGAGCTCGGCCACATCGGCAAGCTCCACGACAGGAGCACCCTAGGGGTGTTCATCGGTTACGCGGAGGGCTTGAAGGCCTACCGCATTCTCGACCCGAAGACACAGCGTGTGCGCACGGCGCGCGACGTAGTGTTCGACGAAGGGCGAGGGTGGGCATGGGACAAGGCGGTGGACGACGGCTCGACTCCGACGTACGACGACTTCACTGTCGAGTACGTCCACTTCGAGGGAGCTGGGGGAGTAGGCAGCTCCTCTTCACCAAGCGTGCCTACCCCAGTCCCCAAGCCTCCACCGACCCCGGCAGCGACACACTCTCGAGCTACGACTTCGGCTGCAACGAGTTCTTCACCGACACCACCACAGCCGGCGACCCCGCGCACTCCAGCACCAACAGCCACCCCTCCGGGCACGTCCACTCCGACACCAGCTCGTGTCGAGCACAGCCCGATGGAGTTCGCTACTCCGCTCTCCCACGACGAGGAGCGCATCGACGTGTACCACGACGGCGAGCTGCTGCGGTACCGTACGATGGAGGACCTTCTCGGCAACCAGCCAGTGCTGGGACTGGTGCCTCGTGACCTGGAGGCGCAGTTGCTCCTTGCTGTGACGACGGTGAGCCTCGGTCTTTCGCAGAGGCCGAGGGACACGCATCATGGCGTGCCGCAATGCAGTCGGAGATGGACGCGGTTGAGGAGAACCGCACCTGGGAGCTTGCTGACCTCCCTCGTGGTCACCGCGCGATCACCCTTAAGTGTGTGTTCAAGCTGAAGAGGGATGAAGCCGGAGCCATTGTCAAGCACAAGGCTCGCTGTTCCTCGACGACGCTCTTTTCGTCGTAGTATTTGTTACAAAACAATTTGCATGGATCGACATTTATCAAGTTATGTTATCATTGATTTTTTTCCTCCCATCTGTGCCTCAATGTGCCACACGACAACAATTGCGACGCCGATTTGCTTCAGAATCCTCTTCTGCTTCTGCTTATGCGCCGACTATCGCTTGAGCGACCAAACGGTGGCGGATGATATGACACATGGCATATTGCCTTTAAAAAAAAAAAAAAACTCGACCTACAGGGGTAAGACAGCCCCCAGGCATTTTACACAGCGGCGCCGTGGCCCGTGTGAGGACGACTAACAACCTGGGTCAGGCCTTAGACCTATGCTTTGGCGTGGGACAGACGATGGGGTTTTTTTAACCCCAGCCTAAATTCACTCCCACAGGAAGTCGAACCCAGGACCCGAGTAGTGCTACTAGAGCCACCTAACATACTTGCTTATTTTTGAATGGATATTTTATTGTTAGATGACATAACACTTCCGAAGTTTACTCGGGCAAGCAGTTTATTGAGTTCCAAGGTTTTCTTTTTCAGGTCACATACAAGACTCTTTTGACAGCACGCAATAAATATGGATCATTACAGGAAGTCCAGCAATGTTTGGCAATCTATCAAGAAATGAGAAAGGCTGGGTAATTCTGATTATAACATCTTTAAATTGTTTATTTGGCACTTCTTTAAGAACAACAAACCTCTTATTGCTTATTGGTTTGAGAAGACAGTGATTCATCAAAGATTCCATAAAAGGTTAACTTTGTACATAAGAAAAAAAAAACACTAGTTCGAGCATAGATGTTCTTTCGCTATAAATACATCCAAATGCAACTCTCATGCCTAGGTGTTGGATGATCCTAATCCTATTGTTCCTTTGTAGAAAACATGTGACAACCTAATGGCTGATAGACTCGTACTATCACTACACAGGGTATATCTCTCTATGTTTTGTCCTCGTGTTAAATTTGCAGTTGACCCATGACAGGTATCAAGCAAATGACTATTACCTCAAGAATTTGATAGTGGAATGGTGTGAAGGAGTTTTGTCTAGCGGTAATGGAAATCGAGAATATTACCAATTGGATCAGAGGAAAGAATCATTCAAGCTCGTTCTTGAGAAAGTGACAACATTCTTGCAGAAAGATGTTGATCAAAACCAAACTGTCGATGTTCGTGGGCTTTCAAAGGTAATTTGACTATGGATATGATATTTTTGTTTTTAGAGAACTCATAAAAAGATCTGCTTACCTTTGTACATTAGTTACAAGAGAATTTGCAATTTCCAACCCACAGACTTCACAAACTGTTGCTTATCTCATCTCACATGAGCATGATGGCTGATTTTTGCATGAGAACATCTCATTCCCAGCGACATGTTTTGACTCTTGAGTTCTACCACACCATCTCCATTACATGATACATCCTTACTCATGAACTCAACTATATGTTTCACAGGTTGAATCTCGCGTTGTAGTTCTCTCAGTTCTCCGGAAGATCAAAGAGAAGTATCTACTAGGTAATGTTCAGCTCTGTCAGTTTATGGGCATTACAACCAATATCTAATAGAATCCATTTAAACATTCCCTTACCTTGAATAGGACGAGCAGTTCAGGATGATGTAGTAATCATCACTGGTCATGGGAAGGCATCAAGCGCCAAGGCCGAGACTAGTGTTGTCGAGGTCGAGCATGCAATAGTTGCTGTTCTGACGGATGAGTTGGGTCTTGAGGTTTTAATTGGACCTGGAAGTCGCCCGGCTTCGTCCAAACCCACAGTTCCAGCTCGTTCTAGGAGTCATTTAGATCTAGCTTCTAAACATTTTTCCAGGAGACCGCAGGGGATGATAAAGATCCCGATCAACTCTCTGAATCATTGGTTGAAGAGGAAAGCTGTGAGGACTGTGCAGTGACAGTTCCTCAACCTTTTGCAGAGTCATCCTAAGATAAGGTAGTGTATACAGATGTACAGGTTGGCTGGTGCTACTCAGTGACATCAACCCAACACGGTTTCACAAGAAGGAATTTGTGGACGGCCATCCAGATACGGTAAAACATCAGAATTAAAGTTATTAGGTTATTGCTGGAAACTTGCAATCCCCGCAATTCCATGGAAACTGAAAAACATGCTGACCGAGTACAGTGAAATACTCCACTGTCTGTGGATTTTGAGCACCATTGCCTAATATAGATTTGTAACAAGTTTGTTCGCTCAAGATTTGAAACCTGATTGCAAAACAAATGTCCAAGATGCCCATGGCTGTATTGTTGTGCCTCTTAAAAACATGCCATGATGTGCTCAGTTACACATGTGAACAGCTCCAATTCTACATTGATCCAAACATGGAGTTGGCACATAAATGCTGGAATACATTGTTTTGAATACATGCTCAGGATACATGAGTAATATCACAGTAACATTTGAATTTCCTGTCACTATACCTGCTCTGAATACATGCTGAAGTAAGCATTTCCATGTTCTTAAAAATTAGTGAATACACACAGCAGCTGCTGTTCAAATACATAATGCTAGAAGAAGATTTCCACATCTGACGGTACTACGAGGCAATCTTGGTCACCCTTATCAATTTGATCCTACAAACTCTCAGTCAGGGGTGTGCAATACTTCCTAAAGAACCTAACATAAAGAACCTAATCTAACATAGAAATTAGTTAACCATGCATTTTGACTGAACATTTTGGAGCTACCTTTTGACTTCGACTAGCCATGGCCCATGGGAATACTGATTCTCAAAAATACCTTATTTTAAATAAATAAATCTAGTGCACAGCGCAGTAGTCAAATAAATGCATGAAAATTCACCTATTCATCTAGCATAGAAAGGGTCCTCAAATCCAGTCCTGTTGCTGCAGCTTGAGAGGTAGATAGACCTCAGTGAGATACTGGAAACCAAATGAACTGAGAGCCTGTATCTCAGCCTTCTGCCTCGTCCGCAACATCGTCTCCAGCTCCTTCACCCATCCTTCATTCTGCTTCACAAAGTCCTCCTCAAGCAGCTCCTTCCCCACCTTGATATCGTGATCAGTCATCGGAAGCCGGCACTGCTCCGGCACCCGATACTTGTCCAGATCGCTTGGCCGCACTCCGAGCCACTTGATATCCGGTGTTGTCAGGTTGGCACTGTCATATGACATGTTCTTGGAACCACACATGTACACTGACAAGATCTTCAGCCCATATGGGTCGGAGTCCACCAATGCCAGCACCGGCAGCTTCAGCTCCACCTTAAGCCGCCGCAAGAACAGCCGTGTGGCGACATCCGGCTGCCCCTTCGCCGTCAAGATGATGCACGGGAAGCGGTTGTAGAACCGGTCCTCGGCGAGACGCATGAACGCGGCGTCCTTCTCCACCAGCAAGATGAAGAGAGCGTCGCTCTCGATGCCTGAGACCCTGTCGATGTTGGGCGGGATGGCCTTCCCGCCGACGCCCATGCGCGTGCAGTCGATCCGGTCGCCGTCGTCGGCGAAGGTGAGGCGCCCGACGACGACGCCCTTCTCGGACGCGACGACGTGGAGGGAGGAGCGGGTGCAGCCGAGCATACAGGAGACGTCGTCGAGGACGGCGTCGGACTGCGCCTGGTCGCCGAAGAGCTTGACGTCGGTGTAGAAGAGGTCACGCTTGGTGACGTGGATCCCCCTGCGGAGGACGGCGTGGACCAAGGAGAGGACGCGCGCGGTGATGGTGGCCTTCCGCGCGGTGGCGACGTTGGCGAAGGGCCTGGCGGACTCGCGGCGGACGAGCACGATGCGGTCGAGGTCCGGGAGGTAGACCTGGTTGGAGGCGGCGCGGGAGGGCACCGCGAAGGAGAAGCCCCGGCCGGACAGGATGCTGCGCGCCGCGGCGAGCACGAGGCGGTTGATGCGGGAGGTGACGGAGGCGGAGTCCTGGTCGGCCACCACGATGTAGCTGGCGGCCGGGTCGTCCTCGGCTGCGAGCGCCTTCGAGGCGGACGACGACGACGACGACGACCCCGCGGGCTTGGATTTGGAGCAGGCGGAGGCCAGGGAGCGGAGGGTGGCGAGGATGGAGGCGTCGGGGCGGAGCTTCGAGCGGAGCGACTCGGCGTACGACGCCGCCGTGGAGACCCGCGGCTTCTTGGAGGCGGAGCCCGACGCGGCCCCCGCGCCTGCCCCGCCGCGGCGCTTCTTCTCCGACATGTCGAGAGATTTGGAGGCGGGGGCGTGGGGAAATCTAGGGGATTTTGGTTTGGGCGCTTTGAGCGGCGGAGACGGCGGCGGGGCTGAAGTGCTGAACTCGACTAGAGTCTGGGCGCGTGTTGCTGCGGCGTGGTTGGGGAGAGTCCGGAAGAGAAGGATTGTGCCGGTAGTGAGCGGGCCAGATAGGTTGGTGAAGTGGTGAGGTGAGCCGAAACTTCTGAGCCCATCGGTACACCTAAAAAGTGTTAGAAGCTAAATTTTGAATTTTCAAACATTATTTTAAAGTTAATTTTAAGATATTTTTAACGTACTTTATTTTATATGGATTTTTAAGTTGCTAAGAACCCATATATAAAATTTTTATACACAAATTATTTTGTTATCATACAGTTTATAATAAATCTTTGGCAAGCAATGAGGCACATAAGCCATATCTGATGACTCGGTCAGCGTTTCATTGACATGGCACAATTTTTTTTGAGGGATTTTTTTTTTAGGGAAGACATGGCACAATTTTACAAACTTAAATCGCTGTGAAAAAACATTAAGAAAGTCCACCAAAGATTTTCAAAAACATGGATATGGGGATGGTGTGTTGACCCTTTTAAAAATAAGTTGATTTATTTTTTTTCTCAATTACACGGAAGACACGGATATACATACAGCTACACATTAGTGCCACGCTCACGCACATGCGAATGTGCGTCATGGCACACGCTCAAAGAGATATGGGGATAATTGGCAAATACATATCTCACAGAAAACATATCAAAAGCACAGCTGTATATATGTAATATTTGTGGATTATTCTATGGGGAATGAATAAATTTTAATAAGAGCAGCTTTTTCTTATGAAATGCCTCATATAGTTGCATTGTTGTTATTTCAAATTCTGTGGCTTCAGATAACATCAAATTTGCAAGGTGAGATACACACTAGCTTGTGATATAACTCCAATATATACAAGCGTGGAGAGAAAACCAAATACCCAACAATATATACCTTGGTGCAAGGCACGATGGCCACGTACTGTTTTCAACTGGACATACAAGTAGTTGTGTTCGGACGAGACAATAAAGAGTACACACTTAATTAATTGGCCACTGAGCCAATTTAGCCAGATCAAGCTATATATCTAGCTGTAAATACTTAGGTAGAGTGGGTTCACATGACACATATATAACACCCAGGAAATTAATGGCCAATGCAGTGGCCAAGCTTCTACACTAGCCGGCGTATAGAACTCAGACAGCAATCCTCTGATCTGCGTACTGAGTTGGCACGATCTGCGCTGCCTTCACAGCAGCAACATTTCCTCGTACATGACCTGCATTGTCAATTTGCAACACATATTTTACGATCAAAACAATCAACCAGCAATTAGTTAATTTGTTACTAGACTAAACAGGAAAAATAATAGTAAACAGGAGAGAGAACTTGCCAGCTGGTGGTGATGCTTCTTCTTCCTTGGCAGAACGAATCCAGTAATTATTCAAGGCGTCTGTCATCAAACAAACTAATAAATTGACCAGGAAGATCATCACTATGACGAAGGCAGTCGCACTCACGATGTCTGCTGCGGTCAAATTGCCTGCAGCCATTGATAAACAAAATCGACAGGTTCTTGTCGTATAGGAGTATTATTGTAACTTCTTTTTCTTTTTTTTCCCATTGTTTCTCCTAATTTTGTATAAACTGTGAAGATTCAAATTTAAATGTATCTATGAACACAAACCTAAACTTGGAACAAATGACGAACAACGAGTTAGAAGAACGGGAAATCATTCTTTGCATGTCACTTAAATGGTTAAGAAAAAATTTAAAAAAAATAGAGAATGTGTATTAACATGTGATATAACACTCCACAAACATGCAAGTTCAAATTCAACTTCTACATCTCGTATGAAAAAACAAATTGAACCGCAGTTAGTTAACGTATATTTAGAGTCAATTTTGTTTTTTTCGTTACGAGATGTAGAAGTTGAATTTTTTACTTGCATGTTTATGGAGTGATATATCACATGTTAATACATCTTCTTATTTTTTTTTAATTTTTTCATAACCATTTAAGTAACATGTAAACAATGAGGGGATATCTCCTCGAGGATCAAAATCCACTTCCAAGAAGAACGGGTACCTCCAGTAGTTCTCACGCTCACGGTAGGGGCAGGGATAGATTGAGGTTCTGCCACGGACGGCGTCATCGGAACGGACACATCCAGCCGCAGATGGCAGTTGTAGCCGATCACCGTGGCCACGCCACCACTCTGCATGTTCCAGCAGCACTTGCCCAGCTCCCGCGCCGACTCCTGCACGCACCGGGCGCAGCTCGCCGCCGGCCGGTCTGGCATGCACTGCGCCAGCGAGTGCACCTGCACCGTCCTCGAGCTGCCGGCGACCACGCGAGGAACGTCCACCGTGGCGGTGGCCAGCATGCGCGAGGCATTGGCGGCGGCGCGCGGCGCCAGGCGCTCGGCCAGGGCGGCGAGCGTGGCGGTGAAGCGGGCGGAGCTCTCGTCGTCCTCCACGAGGGCCCCGACCGCGATCTTGTAGTGGAAGGCCGCCTCGTCGGGCGACAAGGCGCTGGTGTCGGCGAACGACGCGAAGCAGCCGTCGGTCCAGACGGCGGCGCGGCGTTTGGCGGGGCAGCCGTCGGCGAGCTCCTTGGCGGCGACGGACAGGCAGCGGAGGCAGTACTGCGGGGACAGCGCGGGGGGCGGGTCGCCGAAGCAGATGCCGCGGGCGAACGCGCGGTCGCGGCCGGCGCCGCCGGACCGGTCGGTCGACGCGAAGCCCGTCGGCGCGGCGGCGGACGGGAGCCCGCCGAGGAGCGCCCGGACGTTGGCGCGGTACGCGCTGTCGTTCGCGCGGGACCACGTCGGCGCCGGCGTGCACTTGGTCTCGGTGAAGACGATGGGGAAGCCACCGTCCCCGGAGGCCCCGTGCCTCCCGACGACGGCGGCTATGAGGACGAGAGGGAGGAGACGGTTGAGTGCTGCTGCGGCCGCCATCGCCGAGATGACACAAGTGGAGTGGAGCACTGAGCGAATACACGGCAAGCTAACTGATTTGCGCAGTATTTGTAGGGCTGAGTCGAGCAGCTGATCGATCGAGTGACACATATTATCATCGTCTACTGCTTTACGACCGGTCTCGCACAGTCATCAAACTACCATTGCCCGAATTGGAATGGCGAGGTTCGTCCACCGATTCTATACGCATTGCAGATATTAGAACTTTGGGATATACATAGCAGTTGATTGGGGACCGGTAGCTGCACCGGACTATTTCTACTTCCCGGTCACTTGCCGGGAAGTTTCCGCGTAGCTGCTCGTGTTTCCTCTTCCTCGCTACCCAGGCACCTCGCCATTTTTCGGAAAATGCTTCTCATCGAACGCTCAAACCAACAAGAAAAATCGGACGGGGAGTCTCATATGCACCTATCCAGCCTGTATCTCTATCTCCAAACATGCACCTTTAACGATATTCAAAACGAATTTTCTCTAAAATTACTTATCCAATCTACAATCTGATCACACCGTTGTATTCGTTGTAATTAAATCTTTACAATAAGATGTCGCATTATTATATTCTGATAAAAAATAATCATATGTTTTAATTCATTAACATTTTTTGTTTCATATGTGATAGAGATATGTTTCAATATGTGTCTTCAGCGTGTTTCACATAATTCACAATACTAACTATTACTAGTCTCTCTCCTCTCTCTCCACCTCATGCATGCATGCATTTTAGCTAGTTTTAAAACAATTTTTCTTTCAAACTAATTATCCAAACTACGATCTGATCACACCGTTGTATTCTTTGTAATTAAATCTTTACACAACAAGATATCGCATGATTATGTTTTGATGAAAGAAAAATATATGTTTCAATCCATTAACACTAGTTATTTCATATGTGATAGCGATATGTTTCAACGTGTATTTTCATCATGTTTCATAAACTTTTTAAATGTTTCAGTTGCTAATTTTTGTTTTACCATATATAATTTAATGTTTCACTCATTAGTTAACTAGAACGTTCGACGGAACGATTTTTTTTTGTCATGCTACATACGTAGGTGGTGTGATTGACGTACAAACATCAGGCGTCCGATATTCGACGTCCGATGCAGAGTCGTCTCCCCATTATTCTCTCCATGGCACAAGAATGGGATCTGATGCATCCACATGCACCTTACTTATCAACTGCCCACCCACTCACGACGTCGTGCCTCCTCTGTTTCGGCTTAAAGCTGTGAGAAGATCGTACGTCACGCCGTGGCCGTGGGCCTTTCGCTAGCGGAGGCGCGGACTAGTACGCGGGCATGGAGAGAGGGAGCCTGCCGCGGCGACGAGACAACGCCGACGCGGAGTGGCTGTTCTGCACGCGGTTGAGAATCCCGGGCCCCGGCCCCCGGCACGAGGGTATGTACCGGTGCCTTCCCAGGCTCCCCGCGATGCGTTCACTGCCTCTGCTAGACTGCTACTGATCTGGAGAGGAAAAGTAACAGCATGCAGTTAGTAATCGCAAAAAAAAAAAGGAGAGAAAGAAAGAAGGAAAAACAGCATGTGGTAGCCCAGTGGGTGTCTCATCAAGTAGCTAGTGGTGAAAAATTGGAGCTAAAATTTTGGAAAAAAAAAGGAGCTAAATTAAGCTTGGTGTTTTATGTTGGTTGATCTCATGGTACTGATGGGTACATCATCACACCTATATCCACATGTCACTAACGAAGATGTGCGTGTCTCCAGGACTTGTACGCATCTCATGCGTCACGATTGTAAACACCTTGTTCTACATAATATAGTGACTCACCGACCCACGGGAGGAACATGACAAGTGTGATGAGGACCAAGGTAGTAGGATAGGGGCAACAGGAGGCAAGGATGGGGTGTCGCCGGCACCAACACCGGAAGCTCGTGGTAAATCTTTTTCACCAACACAGGGTCTAACACTTCATGGATGAACAAATTCTGTAGCCCGCTCGTTAGCTAGATGTGTGTGTGTTTACGGTGGGTTTAGGGGGAAGGGGACAAGGGGTGCTACCTAGCAGCGAGTAGATTGGGTGGAAGGGCGACGACCGGCACCAATGTTTGGAGTAGGGAAGGTATGGATAAAACAACAATGGTGGCAATGCCGGGATGGGGGAAAACAGGCGTTGATCACCAGGCGGGCATGGGGATAATAGGGGAGGGGAGGGTTTGGACTTGGTTAAGACAAGGTTATTTTGTGGAACCATCCTTTGTTTTTTTATGTTTACAAAGCTATCCGTAAAAACAAATTTTGTCTTCTTGTATTGTATTTCACCTAAGAACCAAAGATTGTTTCGAAAAATAACAACAATGTGTCAGGTGGTGGGAGGGTCTATTTAAAATTCTGTAGGTGTAGGTTTCTGTAAAATAGCTTGTCAGTGTGGGCGCGTGGCTGCACGGAAGACCGTGAGCAGTGTACAAAACGCTGTGGGAGCTGGAAGCCCATGGAATTTTAAAGGCTGATGATGTACATAACATACTTTAACTTGGCAAAATATTTACATGTGTCTTCAAGGTCTGGAGGTTAACAGAAATGATATAGGATACTAGTGATCTAGGAACAGCAAGCTTTCAAGACATCATCCATGTCAGGGTCATCTCCTGCTTCTTTGTCCTGTTAAAAGGTTCAAACATAAAGCCACAGTCAGTGGTTTGTAACCATCATATTGTAGGCTGTAAAAATGAGGATTCAAGAACACTAGGATTCTAAAATCACTAATAGGAAAACTAGGCCGGCTTGCTAATTAACCTTGTGGATATACAAAATATTGTCGATGCCTGGTCCTGCAACAAGTAGGCCCCCTTGATACCTAAAAAAAGATAAAAACTCTATTACTCGATCTGAATTCTGGCCACAACAGGTCAATACTCTAAAGAGAAACAGAAGAAATACCCAAGCAACTTACCATCCACCTTTCGTTCTGGTGGTCTTCTCGAACGACAGTTCCCAATCCTGCCTGTATCCTTCCATGTACAACTGTATAATCTTCAAACCGGCCTGTGGATACAGCTATTTATGTATTTGTCGAGGAGCAGAAACTACACAAGATGGGAAATTTATCCAGTAGGAGTTACCGATGGAGTAAACGTTGAGAACAGCCCAAATGCAAATTCAAGGGCATTATATGATGAGTGACTTGGATCAGCGTATACTTCTGCATTGCATAGTCACACATGGTTATACAAGCTATAATAGTTGCAGTGTTGCAACAAAATGTCAATCAGAATCCACATTTAACAGATTCAAATAACTTCAAGGAAACTTCAAGGAAACTGAGGGATGTAGACAATTTACATTTTCTAGAAAGGTGGGAAAATGCGATCTGAACAACCACTAGGAAACAAAATGTTACATCGACTGACCTTACCTTATAGCAACTGGCATTTGGCAACATACAAATTTTGAGTTACAGATAATCCAACCGTAACTAAACATGCCAATATCTCAGGAACTATGTAATGCGATTTCATTTGCAATTGCATGCAACATGGATGACTCTGAACTTTAAAAATCAAATTGCACAAAATAAGTGTATACACTTCTAGGCCTAATTGAACAACTTTTAGGATACCAGAGAATGAATATACACTAAAATCAATAGTATCATAAATATGAGGTACTCACAGTCAATGTTTTTCTTAACATTTTATTTCATGTGTATACTTGCATGTTATCCATTGATATAGACAGAAGTCACAAGGACTGGAGTAGAATAAATTCAATCAATAATATCACAAATATGAGGTACTCACAATTTATTCAATATTTTTCTTAACATTTTATTTCATGTGTATACTTGCTTGTTATTCATTGTTGTAGACATAGATGTCATAGGGACTGAAGTAGAGATGATTCAAGAAGATTACCTCCTTTGAATTTGGTTTGGTCATAAAATGCCTTTGCCTGGATTAAGAAATAAGCAAATTTCATTAACCACTGACATGCTTGAATGGAATCCATTAAATAACTAACTAAACATAAATAATCACAATTTTAAGTATGTTTATTATTTAGAGGTTGTACCACACCTCATGGAACACCTAAGCTTGCTTTGCACAGGAGTAATTCAACTTGAAAGTAACTACAGGATCACCCTATATTAGAATGACAACCAAACTAATATAAAAGAAACAGGCCAACAAAGACAACTGCATACCAAACTTGCTCATAAATCAAACAGCACATCATCTATTATTCACAACTACATTTTCCCTATGAAATAGGTCACAAACAATACATACATGGAGGTTAAATAGCACAATCATACTTACTTCAGGCGTAGAGGAAAGCACATGTTTTCCTTATATTTTGTAAAATCACCAACTTTTTCTATCAAACCGCAGAAAGAAACGATGATATGCTTTCGCCATAGAGGCGTAGAGCAATACCTGTTCAACAGTACCTGGTCCGATTAAAACAAGAGCAACCCCTGCAGCCTCCATTGCATCCTGAATGTAAGTGGTGAAACTAAAGATTAGATGGACGAAAAAGAGTTCAACATAATATTATGAAAAGCTCGAAAGCTACAGAAACTAATGAATTTGCAACTGATTTCATATGATTTCACATTAATTAGATTAGAAAAGCTTTATGCATTGTCAAACTACCACTAGACAAGGTACAGTTGCATGGATTCCATGAAGAGACTGAAACATCAACTTAGCAGGTATAATTCATAGCATCTGAAATGAAAACATTTTATGTTTTTGTAAATGGAACCTGGTAGATTGAGTAACCCTTTTTTTTAGAAGAATGCATCACTTTGAGCATTTGATGTATTTCCTTTGTTCCTCGAAATTTGCAGGGAGGAATCGGCCACTAAACTAACCTGCTTAGCCGCGAGAAGATCGGCCCTCTTACGGCACAGCACGCATCTGCAAACAACTAGCATCAATCGTCTCAAACTCACTCAATCGTCCAAAGCAGGACAAATAATTGGGAAAAAACGGCAGAGTGGCAATCGCACCCAAAATGGCGGGCGAACGCAACGATGGCCTTCCTGTCCTTCCACAGATCAACAACGGGCACCGCCTTTCCGCTCAGATCGAACACCTCCACCCCCTGCAGGGATTTCGCGAGCCCTTCCACCGGCGCCGCAGCTGCCTCCCCGGCCCTCCCTGCAAATATCATCGCGCATATCAGCGGTTCAGCACCATGCACGCGAGGGGAGGAAGGAGGAGCGGGGCCGGGAGGCTTACCGACGGCCTCGGGCTTGGCGGCGGCCACCGGCGCAACGGAGAAGCGGAGGCGGCGCGGGTAGAGGAGGGAGGCGCACGGGCCCCTCGCGCGGAGGAGGCTCGACGCCGCAGCCGGTCGCGGGCTGGTGGCGGCCGCGTGCGGTACGGGGAGCGGCGCGCGCGCGGCCATGGCGGTAAGCTTGGATGGAAGCTACGTGGGTCTTCGAGCGGCCTAGGTGTGGTTCTGCGGCTGTGGCCGCGCCGAGAACTCGAGCCTCGCAAAAGGTTTGGAGGCAAAAGCGCGCGGCTGTGCGGGTGCGGGTTCCCCCCGCGCGAGGGGCGTGGCCCACATGTCAGTGAGGGTGGAAGCGATAGTCTAGAACTCGCCCCGCACGCGCACTCGTGGACACCTCGTCGCCGCTGGGAAGCGGAGGCGGCGGCGGAGTTGGCTTGGACTTGGGCCTCGCGTTCGCCGGAGGCGAAGGGGAGAGAGCAGTGGAGTAGAGAGGAGAGGAGGCGGCGGAATGAAGGGCTTCCGCGCGGCGCTGGCCCGCGCGTCGGCGAGGTCGCGGGCGGAGCTGCAGGTAGCGCGGCGGCGGCGCCACCCGTCGGATCCCGCCCGCCGCCTGTCCCACTCCGGGACGGCGCCGGCGAGGCCGTCGTTCGGCATCGCCTTCGACATCGACGGTGTCATCCTGCGTGGCCGCAGCCCTATCGGAGGCTCGCCGCAGGCTATCCGCCGGCTCTACTCCGAAGATGGTAAATCTCACTCTTCCCAAACTATACTGCATTTTATGAAGCAGCTTGTAGGCATCAGAACTCAGGATTGAGCGTTTCGTTGTACTTGTATTGCTGAGTTTTAGGACATGATTACAGAATTCGTGTCTTTGGGGAATATTGTCGAGCAAGTCGAAGGCACTAAGCATCAGCCTTGTTTTGTGCATTGCTCTCACAGATTATGTCATATCTGATGCTTAGAGCTGTAGACCATGCAAGTTTTTACTATACAAGGCATTATTTTTCCTTTTTCTTAAGAGCGTTCAATCGTGGGTCATTTTTATTTATTATATAAGAGTTGTTCCGCTGATGCAACCAATGTGTCGTATTTGAATCAAATGACCCATAATGGATATTCGTGCTGTAAAAAACGTTACTCAGTTGGGTCTATAGCATCTGGTGTTTAAAGCTTACATATCACCATTCATTCCTCTTTTTCAGGTACCCTGAAGATTCCGTTTCTGTTTTTAACAAATGGTAAGTAATTTATTACTTCCTCCGTTTCACAATGTAAATCATTCTAGCATTTCCCACATTCATATTGATATTAATGAATCTAGACATATATATATATATGTCTAGATTCATTAATATCAATATGATATGTCTAGATTCATTAATATCAATATGAATGTGGGAAATGCTAGAATGACTTACATTGTGAAACGGAGGGAGTATGTCTGATGAACATCATGTTTTTTCTGTGATGATCTTATATTAATTTCGACATAGTGATAGGTTGAACCCATTATTTTAGACCAATAGTCAGGTACTCAGGCAGTAGGCTTGTTTCCCTATTGTGCTCAGGATCTTTTCTTAAATAATGTATGTGCCTTATTTTCTTAGGGCACCCACAATGGTTATCTATAAGCTATCTACAAGAGATCCATGTCAGCATATTTTCCTACTTGGAAGATATTAAATGAAGAGAGAGAGCAAAGCTATCTACTAGCTTAGAGATAGTCTATAGAGAAAAACGAGGCAATGCATGAGAGAGCTATAGATACCTATGTAGACATACTATTGAGGTGGTTTACTATTAATCTAGTCTATTGCTGAGATGTACATGTTTTATAGAGAGCACCCTACTTTACCATTGCGGGTGCTCTTACTGTAATGGAAGCAAAATTAGTTGTGTTCAGTATGTTGCACTGATCAACATATATTATTGTTTTATACTATGTGGTTACCTTGGCTTGCATGAAGACCTTGTTAGCAATTGGACTGCAGTGCCAGAGCGAATGATTTAATGGTTTAAAATGTTAAATGCTTGGAAATATCTGAAATCTATTTGAACTGCTAGTTTTCCACATCAGTTACATGGTCACTACAACTAAGGGTTTGTACAGCATGGCAATCTGATGCTCCCACTTTTCAGGTGGTGGTGTTCCGGAGCACAAAAGAGCACAAGAGCTAAGTGAGCTTTTAGGAGTTAATATCTCTCCAGCACAGGTAATTCTATAATCCTTTTGACTCATTATTTGGCACAATCAAGCATGGCAGCGGACCTTCAACTGATAACTAATATAAAAATTATAAAATCATGCAATTCCATTTTTTAATATGATAGAGATAAGTCCACACAGCCTGTAAATGTGTTAATTTTCTATCTGTGCAAACTGAAAATTTGTGATGGTGCAGGTTGTGCATGGTTCTTCTCCTTATAAAGAGCTGGTGAACCGGTATATTACCATTAAAGTATATATTAGCCTTAAAAGTTCTATCTGTAGACTGTCTCTGTAACTCTGTTTTTGAAATGAACATGCCAGAACCTGAATGGAACCACACCTTTTCATGTTACTGCAGCTTTGAAAATGACCTTATTATCGCTGTTGGAAAAGGAGAGCCTGCAGCAGTGATGGTTGACTATGGATTTAGGTAATCTTTGATGTTTCTGTTATGGCTGCAGGTCAAATATATTGTGTATATTTTAAAAGACTCGTTCTCTTTTACTTGCAGAAAAGTTCTATCTATAGATGAGTATTCATCATATTTTGGAGACATTGACCCCTTAGCTCCTTTCAAGAAATGGATAGTGCAACAACCAGACAATATAAACTTGATGTCAGAAAAAGTGCACCCATCATATGATGTTTTTGAAGAGAGAGTTAAAGGAGTTTTTGTTGTAAGTGACCCTGTCGATTGGGGAAGAGACCTACAGGTAACCCTCTCCATGTTCCGTTGTTTCAAAAGAAATCTTCTTGTGCCACTATTTTTAACTTTGTATAAAATAGTAAATGCATGAGTTATAAACACCCTCTTTTATAAACATTCTGTGAGCAAGCATATCATGCATATGGTTTTCCTTTAGTTGAAGTGTCTGGCATACATGAGTTCAGTAAGTCAAGATTTTTTTTTATCTTAATCTGAAAGGTACTTTGTGACATCTTATCAACTGGTGGACTTCCTGGAAGTGGAAGAGGAGATCAACCACCTTTGTATTTTGCATCTGATGATCTTGAATATCAGGTAATATAATGCACCAAGAATGAATCGATTATATGAACTTGTTGCAGACAGACAAGTTCTCTTATTTTGACATACTCCCTCCGTCCCAAAAAAACTTAACCTCGTACTACAACATGACACATTCTAGTACAACGAATCTGGACATACTAGGATGTGTCACGTCCTAGTACTAGGTAACCTTTTTTTGGGATGGAGGGAGTACAGTTTTAGTGCATACATGTATAAGATAACCATTAGTAGAATAGTAACTTATGGCCACCTATGGCAGGCAGCATTTCCTTCTGAACGTCTTGGAATGGGTGCTTTCAGGATAGCACTGGAAAGCATCTTCAATCAGTAAGTTTTTATACATTGGACTTGTAGGCATATATATGTTGAATATTTATTCATGTTCTGCCAACTTAAATTTCCAGAGTTAATGATCATCGGCTGAAGTACATATCATATGGGAAGCCTAACCCATTTGTGTTCAAGAATGCGGCAAACATACTTGAAAAACTTGCTATTTGCATGCATCCAAGTTCACTGCCAACAAAAGAAGTAGAAGAACATCGGTTCTCTACTATCTACATGGTTGGGGATAATCCTAAAGTTGATATAAATGGAGCTTTGAAGGTTAGCCTATGATAGAACCGATTGTTTTTCTTTCTAAGAAAATCGCTGCATACAACAGTTGATGGGTGATGCAATTGTGTAGTTTTGGGCATGGCCTTCAATGATTTTTTCTAATACGTGTATATATTTATGAAATTGAATGATTAGCATGAATCCGACAAATTAATATATCATGTAATATACCTTGTTAAATAACTGCCATCCACTTTGGTCCTTTGCTTTTGTGTAGTTCTAAGTTCTAACAACTTAAACAATCGTAAGCGATGAAACTGTAGCTTCTTTCCTCCTGGAAAAGTTTCTGACATTGAGTGACATTTTGCAGGCTGGACCCCCTTGGTCACCTGTTCTTACAAGGACTGGCGTATTTAGGGGAAAGGATAATGATCCACAGTATCCTGCTGATTTGGTATGTTATGTCTTATTAGTGATTTACCGTATAAATGTTAACTGTCAAGCCATCTGATACATGACAACACGTCTGTCAAGAACATGGATGTATAAAGTGATTATAGTATCAGATTAGATCTGAAAAACCATAGGAATTTGCTCATCTTACTCTGGAACTCAATTCTTTTGCAGTTTTACCTTACTTTTACCTACTTTGGCACAATCTATAGGAGATTAGGAGTGGTTACTTTAGTTCTCAAGGGGGTTGGGTATCGTATATCTTTTTTGTTCGAGTGATGCACTGATGCTTGATTATTATCTTGCTAGCCCTATCAAATCACAATTTTTTTCTTCATTAAACATGATGTTCGTACCAATCCATACATTGTTCTCATGCTTGCAAAGAAATAATTGTTTTGTTAATCTAATACATGCGCTTTTGTGGGTGTTTTGTGGGTCTTGAACTGTAGTCCCGGCACATCCTTGTTACCGATTGGCTGTCATCTACCAAAAGCTTCTTCTGCTGTCTGCCGATGCAGTTTTAAACTGCTTGCAGTTTTATTAATCAGAAACATTGACAATCCATTGTTGTGGCCTCATGCCATTATGTTTATTAGTCTGCATGCTGTTTTATTTACACTTGCTATGTCATGCAGGTTGTTGATACTGTTGAGGATGCCATTAACTGTATTTTGGAAAAGGAATGTATACAGTGACAGAGTGACACTTGTTCTGAGTATCCATGCTCCCTTCATTGTTATTTGGCATGCATTTTGTGCCACACCATTGTTTTGTCTAGCAATTCTGGAGCAATTGTTAGCCGGAGTTCCATCTCTGATTCATTCCACTTGTTTAAGTTGGGACATCAGAAAATATGCTGATGCGCTATAGTATTTTTTTTTTCCTGGCTGAGAGATAGGCCGGACATTATATATGTAGAATCGTCAGGGTTTCAGGGCAGCAGAGCTGCAGCAGAGCTAAAAGTGAATTTCACCCTGTACCAGACGTTCTTGTTTCCCTGCATCTTATTTCTTGGATTTCAGTACTACCAATGACATTATTATATGAACTATACACTTCCATTATCAAAACCATCATTTCATGTTAGGGATGGCTTGAAGTGCACACGAGTTATGGAGAGAATGGTAAGCATCGGATGTTTGGTTTTCTGTGAAATTGCGTTGAGCATGCTGAGTCCGGAACAACTCCGTGTTTACAGCATCAGAGCAGCTGCTGTTGCTTGATCGTCGCAGTTTATATCCTTTCCACCTGACATCCTTGCAATGTTTATATCCATTTTGATCGTCGTACAAGAGATTCGCATGGTTTTCTTACCTGTAAAAAAAAGTTTGAATTATATATATATATATATATATATATATATATATATATATATATATATATATATATATATATATATATATATATATATATATATATAGTGATGCATCTACAAATCGGGCGCTCGATTTTTTACAAAAATCAGGCATTGTTTCACTAAATAGATCGAAAATGTTTCAATATTTTTAAAAAAGCTGAAACACAACCAAATCACATCGTGAAATATTTTGTTACAACATATGAAACAACAGTTTCCAAAAAAAAATCAGGCATTGTTTCATCCTATATAAAAACAATATTTCAGCAAATAGCAAAGGATGTTTCAAATCATTGCAACATTTGATCATACATAGTGAAACATCACGAGTACACTTGCTAAAACATTGTTGGTGGAAAAAAAAATGAAACGGATTCCTTTAATAAAGTATTTCCTTAATGTGCGGGTGATTTGTTATAACGACGCGTGTGGTGGGGCACGTGGGGGGGGGGACAACGCATAAGGGGTGGGAGCGTGCGGGAGGCGGCGAGCGCCCGATTTTTCTACCGCTGATCGGGCGCCTAATCGCTGTCATTTTCTTATATAGTGATATCTATTGTGTTGAATAATTCAGTACACTGATGTATGTTATGTTTTATTGTACATATCAAGAGTTTTTGAACTCAAGAAAACAATAGTGATGTATGCTGTGTTGAACAAGGCAGTGAAGATTGGAGTTGTTGGTACACGACTTCACTCACTATGGTTTAAATTGACGTCTATGAATACCACACATACGCGTTTGCTCTATGCCTCTATTTTTTTTTATTTGGAACTCTTAATCTTATTTTCAACCGCTCATGGATCAAGATCGAACGGCTATAAATCCTCAAGCAAAGGTCAATCTCCACGGAAGCTTCTTTCTGTGCAGCTGACCGAGCTGAGTTCACCATCTTCTCAGGCACTGACGATACGGTCCCACATAATCCAGTGAGCCCCCCGCCTCATCTTCCCCACAGATAAGCTCTCCCACTCCACTCTTTCTCCCAACCCGCCATAGCTCCCGGCCTCCGAAGATGGAGACCTCCTCCTTCCTCCGCACCACCCTCCCCACCGCGAAGCCCCTCCCGGCGTTCCAGACCCTCGCACCCCGCCCCCGCCCCCGCCCGCTCCGCCGCTCCACCATCAGCGCGGCCATCACCCGAGGCCGCAAGGAGGACACGGTGGCCGCCGTCCGCGAGCAGCTGGAGGGCTGCTACCTCCTCGCCGGGATCCGCTACGAGGGCCTCACGGTGAAGCAGCTGCAGGGCATCCGCGACACCCTCCCGGAGACCTGCCGGCTGCTGGTGGCGAAGAACACGCTGGTGGGGAAGGCCATCGAGGGCACGCCGTGGGAGGCGCTCAAGCCGTGCATGAAGGGGATGAACGCGTGGCTGTTCGTCCACACCGAGGAGGTCCCCGCCGCGCTCAAGCCCTACCGCGCCTTCCAGAAGGAGGAGCGCCTCGAGGAGACCAACGACTTCGTCGGCGCGGTGTTCGAGGGCAAGTTCTACGCCCCCGGGGACTTCAAGGCGCTCGAGACAATGCCCAGCCGCGCCGAGGTGTACGCCAAGCTGCTCGGCTCGCTGCAGGGGCCCGCGACCTCCGTCGTCACCACGCTGCAGGCGCCGGCCAGGGACGTCGTCTCCGTGCTCTCGGCGTACGTGCGCAAGCTCGAGCAGGAGGTCGGCGCCGCCTGATGGCTGTTGAGAGATGGTTTTGTGGCTTCGTTTCTCTCATCTCACTCATTTCTTGTAGAATTCCTGTACTTTTACTGCCTCACGTTTGAATTGAATCACAAAAGTTTTACCTCTTACAACGCATGCCTACTGGTCTGATTTCATAAGATTACCGAGTTCTGATGTTATTAGGATTACGTTGCGTACTTAGAGGGAATGCTTGTTCCACAACTAGTGTTTTGATAATTTAATTTTACCTGTAGAGACTACAGAGATCAAAGTTTAGTAGGTTGAGGGGCAATGGCAATGCACAATTAGAATGGTCAATAACTACTAGTGCTTGTGTAGTTGTACCATCAATCAGTGTATCCAGGTTTACAACAAAGTTGTTCAAAGCAGTATGATGAGATGTTTTAAAATCATGAACTTAACTGTGCTCTTTTTGTTAAGAGCAAACCTCCTTGAAGTGAACAAAATTAAATGATTAATTCATCTTTTAGTAACAGAATAACACTAATTAGAGTTGGAAATTCTTCTGAATTAGCTTCTGAAACTTACTGTTGGTCACCAGCTCACCACATACCTAATTTGTATCATTTCTGTCTGAACGCGCAGTGGATCAAGAATAGAATTGGCAAAATTGATGATCACATGGTCACTTATTTGTTTGATACTGATTTCTTCTGACAGTCATGGTATTGTCCTAGGTTATTGTACTTGAGTGATAGTTGTAGTTTTGCAGGAGTGACTACCAGGCATGTCAATATGCCAATATCATTCGCCCAATGGATAAGGATGTGAGAGGCTCTTGAGAATATAGAGGAAAGCTTGTTAGGACCAAGTTGCAGTCTTACGGATGTGAAATTGCTTTGGTATGGGAAACCATTTCTTTGGTCCATTCCTGAAGATCGTGTTGTTTGGTTATAAAAGATACATAAAAGATACATATGTCTCTAGCAACATATTGTGATTTGGCTGCTTAGGATCTATTGCAAGCTAAAGTGGAATACGTGCACTGCCACCAAGCGGTTGTGAAATAAAGTATCATCTGGATAAGTGCTTTCCTCAATCTCTGAATTCTTCAATGGAACTCAGCAACATGATCTTGTTTGTCTTTAAGCTTTTACATTAATTTGAAATTTGTTTGCAATGGCATGCTTAGACACAATTTGAAATCATAGTTATTCCATGATGTATAATAACAAACCTTCTTGTACAGTAAATTTAGTCCTGATTGATGTGTAAAAGTAAATACACTGCTACAGCCTCATTATATAACTGGAGGGGATTTCCATGGTGCAAATGTGCATTTGCTTGAGGTCTAAAAAAATGGTGCAATTCTTTTGACATCTAACTAACATCAGAGTTGTATTCAACACATCATTGCATCTCAGTGACACTGATGAATATTTTCTTTACTTTGTGGGTCCAAACATATTAATGCCTTGCATGCACTACTTTATTCCTGCAGTGCTGTATCTCCAAACAGATAAACCTAAACAAGTTTTCCCTTCATGAGCGAACTGTTGCTGTGTTGGTCCTTTTGAATTTGGTGATGCATTTTACGTTCCTTAATTAGGTCTAAATTTACTTTATGTGAATATTACTATTATATGTAAGATAATGTAAGCCTGATTCTGTTCTTGTGTTGATAAAGCTGGGCACCACCATGTGAGCGCCTGATTGGCTTCGAAAGCTCACACCTGTTTTTTCACCTAACTTCGATGCGGGGTTTACCACTTGACTGATGAAGGAATGTTAGCAAGTTGCCAAACACTCTTGAAAAGGAGCAGATTCTTGCACAGCTGCTTTGTGTGATGGCACCGGCGACCTAGCATGAGCACATGACACTTCCTGGTCCAGGTTCTTCCTACTCGTTGGTGTTTCACGAACTCAATAGTCCTACTTTTTTTCCCTTTTCTTAAACGTGTTCGATATCTCTGCTCCTTCAATATGCCCGTTTGGCCGCTGGCAAGGTGAGCAGACGGCTTCGATCACAGCTGCTCGCTTGATCGGACGGTCCGTTTGTCTCGTTGGACAATCTCCAAGCGCGTACCAGTGTACCACCGGATTGAGACTCTGTAACTTACTTTTCTTTGACATGTGAACCCTCTATCCAGCGGGTCTATATGTCAGTGTCTCAAAAACAAAGGAAAGTAAGCCAAAGATCATCTTCCGTGTACCACTAATGTATCAGCAGTAACAACATAGGCGCCGCTCTCAGAAAAGGACCAAAGGGGATCGCTAATTAGCGCACGTACATTTTCAGTGTACATATTTTTCTCCTTCTTAGTAGCATTCTCATATAAAACTTTCAACTTCAACTCAAAATCATACGACTTTTAGCTCAAATTATATGGAACTTCCAAATGTAGATTTTTGTTTGCAAACTTTTTATATGAAAGTGTGCCTTAATAGCACACGTGCACTAATTAGTACTAATCCTAAATACACAGAAAGCTAAGGGTGCATCTTTTTTATTATGGTTTTACCGGATTAGTGGCACGCGAAACGAGAAATATAATTAGCATATGATTAATTGGTATTAATTATTAAAAACATAAAAATATTTTTTGGTTTTTCAAAAAAAAAATTTTATATAAAGTTTTCACGGTAAATACATTATTTAACCGTTTAAAAAGTGTGCTAACGAAAAATAAGAACTAAGAGCAGCTTCAGTGTAGGGAGAAATCGAACAATGAGACAGAAAAATCGAATAGAGGACACTGAGACAGTCGACTGGTGCATATCAGACGAAAAAATGGACTCCAAAGACCGAACCATACTGAAATAGATAGATACGGATGTCAGGCCAAGCATAGCTTCATCTGTCCAGAGAAGAAGCAGCCTAGATTTATTATTATTATTATTTCCTTGAGGCCAACGATCGGATGCAGCACTATAGCTCTAGATCAAATTCCACGTCAAAACGACCTTATAATCCTCTAAAATCGAGTTAGCAATTTAAAACGCGCCCTAAGTCCCCTTTAGGCAAAGGTGTGATACACAATTCGTCTTCCTCTCCAGCGCTCTCCCTCCCGCCGCAACGAGGAAACCACCGCCTCAGGATGGCCCCGCGGCCACGTGAAGCGCCGGGCCGGTGCGAATCAGCTAGGGCTACAGCTCATCATCTCGCCGAAGCGATCAACCAAATTATTACGCGCGATTGGAGACGTTGTTCAGCCGGGAGCAGGAGCAGCAGATCATCTGATTGATGCCTTCCATGCTGAACTTTTTGCCAGTGCTGTGGCTATCAAAACGGCAAAGGAGAAGGGTATGGCGCGAGTTGAACTGGAAACAGATTCCCTGATGCTGTGCAATGCACTCCAGAGCAACTCTTTCAACTTATCAGTGATGGGTGGAGTAATCCTTGAGATCAAGCATGTGATTGCTAGCTGTTTTCATTCTTTCTCTGTTAGTTACTGCCCACGAAACTGTAATAAGGTAGCGCATGAATTAGCTGCTTTGGGTTGTAACCTTTCAGGACGCTTCCTCCTGGACAGGCTGCCCGCCTGGGATGGAACGACTGGTGACCAGCGATTTAGCTGGATCAGTTATATAAAGTTTCGGTTTCCCTAAAAAAAAATTATTACGCGCGATCGAGCAAGCGAGCGCGCGCGACGCGACACGACGCCCTCGCTAATACGATTACACTAATACGCGTGGCACGGCGAGCGCGCACGGCGGCAAAAGGCTCGGACCGCGGCCACACAAGGAAAGCGCGCGGAGGGTGGGGGTGAAAGATGCAAAGGCGGTTCAGACGCGGGAGTCGCCCAAAAAAAAAGCAGGCCGTCTCGGCCACAGCCAGCCGTCCGGGGGGGATAAGCGAAAGCTGGAGCCCGTCGCCAGCAGCCTTGTGGTTTGATCCTGATACCATCTCGCTCTCCACAAAAGCACGAGTAGCATTCGATCGGTCACTCCGTTCCCTGCATCTGCATGTGCCCTACTTACATTTCATTTCATTCACCTGCTTTAATTTTGTCTCTCGATCGCTTGATTCAGTGGCTAATTATAGCTCCAAAAATTACCGGGTAATCCTAGTGCTCATAACGAATTAGTAATACTCTAATTACTCCAATTATCAAGATCGCAGATTTCAGCGTGTATCTTGGTTAATGGATGGGCAGTTCGTGTTGCTGGCTTGCTGCTACTTTACAAGGAACATGCGCACTAAGGGCGTGTTTGGTTGCTGCCCTGGCGAGTATTTGCCTGGCCTAGAGCTAGCTGGATTGGTTGCTTTCCTGAATGGTGTCCATGCTCAGGCAAGGGTGCCGGACTCAGGCCACCAAAAATGAACACCTGAGTCAGGCGTGGGTATGTGTCTGATCCTCCCCCATTGATTCTTCATTGATGTGACTGCTATTAACACTTGTCAATATCTTACTCAAGTAAACAAAATGTTTATATATAATATATTCACTCAGGCGTAGGTTTTCAACCAAACAACAAAACATCACACATGCCTGGTCAGGCACAATAAAACACAGCTTTTCTACCACACAGGCATAGATTTTTCTCAGGCAAGTCACTCAGGTCACCAACCAAACAAGCCCTCAGAGATTAGCAGCGGCCGCGGTTGAGAGAAAGGTGGTGATGCCAACAGCCCGACATACATGCACGGTGATAGTGGATTGGTGGGGTGACTAGAATATATATATGGTCACCCCACCATAATATATATCGGTGTGTGTGCGTGTGTCGTGGTGTGAGTGCAGTGTGTGTTAGTGTGCGTCCTGAGTTGTACCCTTCTAAAAAAAGAATATATATCTCGATTTCCATTGGTTCTTGCCTTCTTGGCTGATGTTCTTCTTCGATCTAATAACTCAAAAGGTCGGAGCAAAGTTTGCCGCAAGTTGGATAGCGCAACTCCCGGTCTCCTTTTCAGAAATACGCGCGCGTGCAGTATTTTGGCTGCACATAACACACAAATTTCTCGTTGGTATAACCACAAGCAGAGTGAGCTATACGCAGAGCACGCAGCTGTTCTCACTTCTCAAGTCGTCGATCGATCGCTACGGCATCGATATATTCATCTGCAAGAGAAGTTATGCAGAAATAAGATCCTTTCCCAAGAGAACAAACAGTACAAGGTTACACGGATCTGTGGATATACTGATGGCATATTGGCATATGCTAAGCGATTTTGCTAAAAATCTGGCGACAAATTTTTGGCACGAAATCACTCGGATTTACTTCCCTTGTGGATTAGTCTGTGCATGATTTAATTAGCGGCTGTGATGCGTTTCCTTCCCACGCACGCATGAGGCCAGCAACATCTAGCTTGGCACATAATTGATGAGTACATACATTGCACGTCGTTGCAGCTA